AAAAAATTTTAACTTATACAATAACTTATCTTGTTTTATTATTGTTACTTTTTAGTGTGTGGTAGTAGTACTGCTGATGAGGGGCATGCTAGCCCGAAACACGTGTAATATGTGTACAGAAACTATTACTACAGGTGATATAATAAAGAAATTTTGTTCTTTCCTGAACTAACTCTCATTGCTGTGTCAATCTTTAAACACCAGATTATGTCCTATTAATAAATTAAGTCCAAGTAGACAATTAAAAATAATAAAAAAATTATACTTCAGAAGTTAATTTAGTATCAAAAACGTAAAATATTTGAATAGCTGAAGACATAGCCAAAGATTACAGCGCCACAGCACTGGCGAAAATTTAAATTTGTCGACTGGAATTCCTTCGGATAAACGACGCTCTACTGTAGTAATTTTATTTTTATAATTGTGGTTCACTTGAATAAGATTTATCTTATATTTTCTCTCTTCAATACCTTTTTCAATTATATACAAAAGAATACAATATTTAATAATGCTGTAATTGACGACTATCGATACACACTGAAAAATATATACAGGTATACCTTGACTTACGTCGTTTTGAATTACGTCGTTCTCGATTATACGTCGTTTGTCAAAAAATATACTGTATGGAAAAATAAAAATCAGGTTTAAGTCATTTTATTCGACTTTACGTCTATCCGTCACAAATGTTGAAGTCGTAATCTATATATATATGAACATGTATGTCCCTATATTTCACTTTTTCGCAAAAACTACACATCGCACGTGAATGGTGTTTGTATGTGGTAGTAGCCCCAAGTCTCTATTCGTGCATAGGGGTGGTTGCGTCTCGATAGCTATAAGGGTGCGGGAGATATGGGCTTGAAAGTAGTTGAAAGTGGCTTTCTATTTCGAATGTTTTGTTCGAATTTGTTCGAATTTAATTCGAACATAAAATTCGAATATTGGTTCGATTATAGAAGGATCGTAAACGTTCCAGAAACGTTGAAAATAGTTCGTTCTAATTAGAGACCGGTCAAACGAATTAGTTTGACCGTTCAGAAATAGAATCGTTTGACCGTTCAGAAATAGAATCGGGACCAGGTCTCTAATTAGTCTGGAAACGGGGGACCTAATTCTTGCATTCTGTGAAAACGGGTAAGATTGGCTATAATGT